GAAGTATCCGATTTTATATCCAAAATAAATTAAATTTCCGATTTTAAAGTATATAATTACAATTTTTGGGCTAAAAGTTTTAAATTGACCCGACCCAAAACACAAATGTACTTCGACATCTTCGTTCGCACTTAAATGCATTTTTCTAAGTATTCCAATCAATATTAAGATTGAAACCAAATCGTAATATCAATTTGAAATGGAAATCTCTCATTTAAGATTTATTAAAAAAAATATTAAATAAATAGTTATAATATTCCACCCAATTAAATCAAGTCAAATGCTCTCTATGTATGTATATGGTTTAGATTTTATGCTAATAGAATGGGATATTGAATTTTATCTTCATATATTAGTTTGCTAAATCTAGGATATTTGTTATGCTAATCACAATATTTGCGGTACTGTAGATGAGTAATTTGAGAAAGCAGGATTTTAAATATTCCTTAAGTAGTTAAAGTAATAATATTATTCTGTTTTTGAATCTTCTGCGATGGAAACACGGGGAAGCCGAGAGTATATATGGGCGTTACATATAACGATGACCAATTAAATACCCAGTAAAGGATGCTTATTTGTTTCGAAATAAACACCCAAACCAAAAACAAAAGAAATTAATGAAAAGATCCGACTTTGAAGTCGGGTTTATTTTTTGTTTTTAAACCGACCCGAAAGAGTATTTGTACTTCTCTTTTACTATAGTAGGGATATCCATTCGGTTCTCGATTACGTTTCAGATTTGGTTTTGGTTCTTCGATTTAGGAGTTTAGGATCTAATAGAGTATTATACCGACTCTGGATTTGAATTCAAGTCTACTTTTTCAGTTTGATTTTGGCTCCCGTTTTTTAGACTATATTGTATTTGGGTGTAAAATGTTTCTTAGACTATATTGTATTTGGGAGTAAAATGTTTTTTATGGCTTAAAGAAAAGTTTGAATAAATTTTAAATGAAATGATTTATATAATATTTCTATAGCCCAATATGCCGAACTCCATGTAAGTGGTATTACAGTATGAAAAATACTTGGGTTCACCACTTCACCCCTACGGTGAACCTATTCGTTCACCTATTATTATCTTAATCGTTAAAAATATACAGTAGTATTATGCCATGTCATACCATGTTTAAAAAATAAACTAAAATTAAAATAAGAAAAATAAAAACAATTAAGGAAACAAAATCTGTAAAATTTTAATAAAACATGGTTAAATATTACTGTATTTTGAGGTTTAGATTTTACAATTAAAATAAAATTATATATCGTTTTGGGTTTATAAATGGGGATTACGGTTTAAATTTTACATTTAAAACAAAATTATATGTCGGCTTGGGTTTATAAAAGAGTGGTTGGGGTTTATATTTTACAATTAAAACAAATTATACGTCGGTTTAGGTTTATAAATGAGTGGTTAGGGTTTAGATTTTACAATTAAAACAAAATTGTACGTCGGTTTGGGTTTATAAAAGAGTGGTCTGGGTTTAGATTACAATTAAAACAAAATTATATGTTGATTTAAATTTATAAATAAGTGGTTATAATTTAGATTTTACAATTAAAACAAAATTATATATCTATTTGAGTTTATAAAATAGTGGTTATATGTAGAGTAAACCAACAAAAAATCAACAAAACTATTGATTGACTAGCTAGAGAGTTTTAAAAAATATGAATTAACCTAACGAGAGCTGAAAAAAAAATAGTGGACACATCCCATAAAACTTTTTTCCTTCTTTTTCTAATTTCTTTTAGTCCTAGAGAAACAAAGAATTGACTTGAGCTTGTCAACGCAATGTGTGGAAGTCAGGATTTAATAATGACATATCTGGTCAACGCGGTTTGTTCTGACGTTATTGGCATGGAACCGAGAACGATTTTTTTTTTTTTTTCTGGTCGATTGAATAAAATAAAATATCTGAGCAAATAGTGCATGTTACACTTACACAGTCACTGGATTTGTTTTACAGTCACTGTTCAAATGTTACTTATTATTATTTATTTATTTTTCATTTGTCAGAAATGTACCAAATTTATTAGTTTACAAAAATTATTTTAAGACTTTTTTATTATTAACATATAATATTAACTTTTTATTATTATTATGGTATTTAAAAAAAATTCCATAAACAAAGAAAAATATAAAACAACATACATTAAGATATATGAATAACTATGATAAAATAAACATAGTTTCATGAAAAATACAAGTTTAACAAGTAAGACAATATACCAAACACCATATATATATATATATATATATATATATATATATACAAATATAAAATCAACATATATCTTACATAATTTGTAGAAAAAAGCATGTTTAAAAAAAATTAAATGCTATAATTTTATAACTACTAATATATTATATAATGTTAACACATTTATTTATGAGGAAAAAAAAATATACCTTTCAGCAGAAAATTAAAGAAATAAGAAGTGTAGAGTTGACGCTTGGATTGTGTTTTGAATTCTGTAAAAAAATAAAATACATAAGTTAGTATATAGAAAAAAAATGTATGTAATTTAAGAAAAAAATACCTTTGCAAAAATAAAGTTAGAAAACAAGAGAGAAAGAAAAAATGTGAGTATTATACCAAAGTGAAGTGTACTTTATATAGGGAAAAAGATGTTTTGAGTTATTATGTTATTAATAAAAAAATATAAATAAAGTAGAAAACACATATGAAAAGCTTCAAAAGAACCGTGGACAAGCTACACGACAGTTATCATGTCTTTATCACAAAAAGACAAAAAAAAGTGAACTGCCCACATTTTTTTCGTTTTTGTTTAAAAAATCATAAAAACATTGAATGGTGTATTGGTAACAGAAGACCCACATGCACGGGTCAACTGCTTTTTTCCGTCTGCCCATTCAAAGCCATGTAAAGAGCATTTCTCATTTGATGTGGATGGATTAGGTGGTTGAGAGTTGTATTCTATATTGTTGATGGTTCAATATTCTCAAATGAAAACACTCTTTCTTTTTTCTTTCTTTTGTTTTTTTTTTTTAATATAAAAGACGTCCCATAATAGGCTTAAGGTCTCCTTAAATTACAACAGATCCACAAGTACAACAAAAAAAAGA